TAAGTGCCCTGGGTTCAATCCCTGGTACAAAAAAAAAAAAAAAAAAAAAAAAGGCAAGATAAAATATTTACCTGGTCTCAAGGCACTGGACTTTTCGGCTCCACTAGAAGAGCAGTTCTGGGAGGAAAAGGAGAGGCTTCCTGGAAGGAGTGGGAGACAAATATGGAGAAAGTGCAGATGATGGGTGCAGCTTTGGATTTAACTTGAGAGACCAAAGAGAGATGGGCCTGAAGAGTGGGATTGATGCCAACCTAAGTCTTATTTGGCCTCCTGCCCAGGTCTGTGTCTAACTCACCAATCAGAGACAGAGCCCTTGTTCCGCCCATCGTGGGTCATTTCCCACACACTATCTCTTCTACACACTCGCCTGGGATGTTCTGTTGTCCTGGGCCTCAGAAAGAGGCTGTTACAAGTACTCCCTCTAATAGGCAGAAAAGATGGATCCCTTTATCTCCTGGCAAAAGCACTTTGCTTTGACTTCCCAGTGTTCCCTGCATAGAAGCTGCACAAAGCCTGTTTGTGAAGGTAGAGTCCCTTCCTAGCATTCTAGAGGAAAATTCCATTGGTGCCTTCTAGATACCAATGTGTCTTCTTGGCATAATCCAATCTCCTTAATATGCTGTAATAAATCTGAAATATCCTGACAGTAAATTTCACTGCCAACAACTCCATTCTCTGGCTTACGTGGTGCTGCAGTGTATGTCATCGTGGGGCTCTCCTTAGGCTCAGAGAGGGGGACAGATGTCACGTCCTTCAGAATTTGTTTTATTTGACCAGTATTTACACATCACTGACCAGGTACCAGGCACTATTCTTAGTGATTTCCTATTATATTAACTCATTTTAAAAATTCCTTTAATCTTCCCAATGATTGCCATGAGGTATTGTTATTTCCATTTGGCAGAGAGGTTCAATAATTTGCTTGGTGGTGCACAGCTAATAATTGGCAGAATTGAAATTTAGACCTAGTAGGGGGATTCTAGAGTCCTTGCTTTTTACCACTGACCTCTGCTGTCTCTATGGTATCTGAATGACCCCTGGTGGATATTTGTTAGCATTTTGAGAAGGACATAAGTAAGGCTCAAGGCAAGCCAAGGGCTGATAAGATGTGGAGAGTGACTGTAAAAGGAAACTTAGATTGCAATATGGCTTGGATATGAGATGTCTGCCAAAAACTCCTGTGTTAATGCAGGAATGTTCAGAGGTGAAATATTTTGATTGGGAGGGCTGAACCTAATCAGTCTGTTTGAATGGACTGGGTTGTAACTGTAGGCAGGTGGGGCATGGCTGGAGGAGGAGGGTCACTAGGGCTAGGCCCTAGAAGGTTTCCTCTTTCCTGCATCCCCTTCCCCCTTCCCTCTTTGCTTCCTGGCTGCCTTGAACTGAGCAGCACTCCTCTGCCACGCTCTTCTGCCATTATATCAGCTTTACCTTGGGCCCAGAACCATGGATTCAGCTCCACCATGCACTGAACCTCTGGAACCACGAACCAAAATAAACTTCCCCTCCTCTGTTGTTCGTGTTGGGTAATTTTGGTCACAGCAAAGCAAAAGCTGACTAACACAGCAGGGGAGGGAAATTCTGGCATGTGAGATTCCTTCTCTCCCACTTAAGCAAGTGCCAGCCTTGGTTTGTGCTAAACCATATTCTCTGCCCACTGAAAGTGCTTGTCATTGCCTCCTTTCTGCCGCCCATGAGTCTAGATTTTTTTTTGAGACCATATTTTTAAGTAAGTATTTATAAAGGAGTTTTTGCCAACATTATCTCTACAGTTTCCTCCAAATAAACTCTTCCCCCTCGTCAACTGCCTACCAGGCATTTTCCTTAATAAAAAATGCAAAGGCTTTAACCAGCACACATCAATCAGTGTACTGCATTGCTAAGCTACAGATGTATTGAATGCATGTTCAGCTTACAGTATTTTCAATTTATGATGAGTTTACATGGATGTAACTCCATTATAAATTGAGGAGAAACTGAACCTAATTTCATGGAATTTCCCAAACAACTGCAAAGAAGACATCAGTCTTCATTTGATAGAAAAGGGAGGCACAAAGGTAACATGAGTTCTAAAGACTTATTGTACCTTATTTGCATTCACCCGGGAATATGACTTTTTTTTTTTTGCAGTACTTAGGATAGAACCCAGGAGTGCTCTACCACTGAGTTACATTTCTGCTTTTTTTTATTTTGAAATTTCACTAAATTGCCCAGGTTGTCCTCAAACTTGCAAAGTTCCTGCCTCAGCCTCCAGAGTTACTGGGATTATAGATGTGTGCCACTGCAACCAAATGGTTTATAACTTCTTTTTTTTTTTCTTTATTTAATTTATTTATTTATATGTGGTGTTGCCTTGCACGTGCTAGGCAAGTGCTCTACTGCCTGAGCCACAACCCCAGCCCAGAATATAACTTCTTTATCTCCCAGTTAACAATGATTATGTCTTTCCCATCTCCCTCCTTATCATATTACAGACTCAGTGAGTTTTTCAAAGGGTTTCCTCCCCTGTATTCGTTTGGGACATCAAACAGCTAAGATGATGAAATACTGTAGTGATATAACATATGTGCCTCAAAACCTGTGGATTGCAACTTTTCAGTGAACTTTTATGATCATAGTGATTGCTGAGATCAATAGAGCACACACTGAGGCTAGCACTGACCTAAATGCTTGACATGCATTATCTTTTTTTTTTTTAAACTGAGAATTGAATGTTTTACCACTGAGCTACATCCCCAGTCCTTTTTATTTTGAAACAGATTCTTGCTAAATTGCTTATGGCCTCACTAAATTGCTGAGACTAGCCTCAAAATTGCAATTCTCCTGTCTCAGTCTCACAAGTCGCTGGGGTTACAGGAATGCAATACCGTGCCCAGAAGCATGCATTTTTTTTTTTTTAAAAGAGAGAGTGAGAGAGGGAGAGAGAGAGAGAAATAATTTTAATATTTATTTTTTAGTTATCGGTGGACACAACATCTTTGTATGTGGTGCTGAGGATCGAACCTGGGCCGCACGCATGCCAGGCAAGCGCGCTACCGCTTGAGCCACATCCCAGCCCCAAGCATGCATTATTTTATTTACTCTTCACAACCACAGTAAGAGGTAGGTATTATCATTGATATATTACAGATGAAGGAAAAGGCTAGAGAAGTAACAGAACTTACTCAGGATCACATAGCTATTAGGTGATGGAATCTGGATTCAAACCCAGGAAATTGGTCAGAAATTTTGAACTGCTGCAGAAGACCACATGACTTCTTCTAAGAGAAGTGTGATCAGTATTATGCACATTTTATTACCTTTAAAATTTTATTATGTAATATTTTAGATAGAAAAAGGTACATTATGCACAATGTTTCATTAGTGCAATATATAGATGTATGTTTTGCATACACACACACACACACACACATATATATATATATATATATATACACATATATATATATATATTTATATACACATATATATATATATATATATATAAATATATATAATAGTTTTGTGCCACTTAATGACACGGGTATGTTTTAAGAAATGTGTTAGGTTATTTTATAATTGTGCAAACATTATAGAGTGTGTTATCACAAACCTAGATAGTATAGCCTACTAGGGAATGTAGCTCAGTGGTAGAGTGCTTGTCCAGCATGCACCAGGCCCTGGGTTCAATCCCCAGCACCACCTCCCACCACCACCAAAAGAAAAAAAAAAAAAAAAAAAAAGCATCACCTACTATATACCTGAGCTATAGGTAAAGCCACTGTGCTATATGCAGTCCATCATTGACCAAAATGTTTTTATGTGGGAAATTACTATATATCTATCTCCCAGTGTGTGCCAAGCATTAGGATGTAGTAACAAATTACCCCAGATGAAGAGGGTCAGGAGAAAGTTTAAGGCAATGTTAGAAAAAACAGTTACAGTTTATTATCCATTTCCACTTATGTGTCTAGCATTATCCTAGTCAAGAGAAGTATTAGAAGACCCTGCCATAAAATAAACCACATAGCCTAATGTGGTGGCTGCACCTGTAATCCCAGCCGTTCGGCAGACTAGGACTGGAGGATCACAGGTTCAAAGCCAGCCTCAGCAACTTAAGCAAAAAGCTTAAGTTTTTTGTAAGAAAACTTAAGCAAAAAGGTGGGGGCTCAGGGGATGTTGTCGGTGGTTAGCGCCCTTGGATTCAATCATTCCCGGTACCAAATAAAATAAGCCGCATAGAGGAAAGTCACTTAGTTTTGTTACCAAAATAAATAAATTAATTAATTAATTAAAAAAAATTGGTCTCTTTTTTTGTTTTTTGTTTTTTTGTACTGAAGATTGAACCCCAGCCTGTTTCTCATTTTTTAAATTTTGAGACAGGGTTTTGCTAAATTGTTTAGGACCTCCTTAAATTGCCCAGACTGGCTTTGAACTTGTGATTCTCCTGCCTCAGCTTCTTGAGAGGCTGGGATTACTGGTATGAGCCACCGCGCCTGGCCAATTGGTCTGTTTGTACAGCATAAAAACTAACATTTTATAATCGTATCTTATAGACATAAAGGCAAAAAGCAGGTACAGTGATGAGCTCTGGGTGGTGTACAGGGCCAGACCTTGGGAGCCAGTCATCCCATTTAATCAAGTATCTTCTGAAGGATATGTCTAATAAGATGGGGATACACTTAAAAACCAGGTAGGCAGGTCGCTGCCCTCCTGGGGCCTATCGTCTGGCGAGAACCCTGCTCTGAGTCATTGACAAGCTCTAGCTATGTGACCTTGGATAAGAAAATTCTCCGCTCCCAATTCTGTAAAATATATGGGGTTAACCCAGGGAATCTGGTACTCAAATCCGGTGACCAAAGAGTATCGCTGGCTGCTGTATTCATATAGGGGTGGGTTAGGCTCCCTGCCCCTGCGCTACCGCAAGCCTGACGGCGGGGGCGCTGTGCAGGCATGCAGAGCGTTTGCGTTCCGAAAGCGCGTGTCCCTCGCCGCATGCCGTCGTCCGCGCGGCCGCCACCGCCCGCGGAGCGGGAGGGGCGGAGCTGGCTCTGTCCGGGCTCCCGAGCGGGTAGGCTGCCCAGGAGGAGGTGCGGCGGGTCCCAGCGGCCGAGGTTCGGGCGGAGCGACTGGAGAGGCTGGCAGGTGGTGCTGGCAGCGTGGGGAGAGTGGCGCCGTGGGCTGGGCGCTCTTGGCTGGAGGAGTTCACTCCATGCGTGCGGGCCAAGCACGGCCCCTGCGAGCCTCCGACATGAAGAAAGACGTGCGGATCCTGCTGGTGGGAGAACGTGAGTCCGCGCGCCCGGGCTGGCCGCGGCCGCCCTTGTCCTTCTCTTGCCTCAGCCTTGACCCTCCTCGCCCCTCGCACCTCGGCTGCCTCTCCGTGCCACCAGGCCTCCCAGCTCCTTCGCTCTTCCCTTTCGGCTACGCGCCGGCGGCCCTTATCCTCTCACCGCACCCGGGCCCTCCCCAGATCTCCCTTTCCTGTCCCCAATGCTCCTCGCAAGCCTCGTCTCCTTTATCCCCTAACGCCCGACCTCATCCCTCTGAAGGTCCTCTCATCCTGCTCCTCCTCGCGTCCTTTCCTCCTGGGCCTCAGCGCTTCCCAGGCCGCCTCTTTTCACCCTCTCTTCTTCTGTGGAGATTTCCTTGTCAGTCACTGCCTGGCAGATGCTGGAACAGCAGCCTAACCAATTGGGATTGCGGGAGCCGACTCCCGGGGAAGCTAGGGGGAGGGGTGCAGAACTATGCCACTTGGGGGCAAGGTCAGGTCTCTCTCTCTTTCTCTGTCTCTCTTTCTTTCCTTTTTGCGCTCGCTGGCGGTCCTCGCTTTCTCGGTGCGTTGACTCAGAGCGTTGGGCTGTAGTCTAGCTTGGTGGTAGAGCACTTGCCTAACCTGCGCCAGGTCCGGGTGTTCGATCCCTAAGGCCGGGTGGTGGCGGCGGAGGAGGCGTTTCGTAGCGATCCTTGTGCTTTGTATGGGAGTAACTCCTGGTACTGGACATTTACTTTCAACTTCACGTTATCCAAGTACTCAATTAGTAATAATTATCTGGGGAGAGTCCGTTAGTTGAGTCAATGATAGTTACCCTAAAACCTAATTCTTCCTACTTTTTTAACCATTGTTTATTCCGCGACTACTTGGTAGTTAATTTATAAATATCAGCAGGCATACAAGACTCCAGCAGGTATATATACACAAGACCCGCTCCTTACCCCAACCCCGCGAGATTCTAAGATTTCACTTTTTGCCGATATAATAAAGGAGAGATGCTTCTGCTCGGTGACATATAGATAGAACAGCAGGGACTTTTCTTATTTTTACTTTTTTTTTTTGTATTAGGGTAAACCCAGGGGCACTCAACCACTGAACCACATCCCCAGCCCTTTTAGAGACAGGGTCTCGCCGAGTTACATAGGGCCTGGCTAAATTGCTGAGGCTGGCTTTGAGAACTCACGATCCTCCTGTCTCAGCCTCGGGAGCTGCTGGGATTACAGGCATGTGCCACGATGTCCAGCAGCAGGGACTTCTTAATACCATTGTGTCAGTTACATCACTCAATTGCCAGGATTAAAATAAAAAGAAAGTAGGCTAGGGAGGGCTGGAGTTGTTTGGTTTTGAATCATTAATTAATGCTCCATTGCTGGTTTTTTTTTTTTTTTTTTTTAACAGGGATTGAACTCAGGGGTGCTTAGCCACTGAGCTACACCCCCAGCACTTTTTATTTTTTATTTTGAGACAGGGTTTCACCAAGTTGCTAGGGCCTCGCTAAATTGCTGAGGCTGGTTTTGAACTCATGATCTCCTGCTGAGCCTCTGGGATTACAGGTGTGCGCCATTGCATCTGGCTGCCATTGCTGATTTTAAGCATTTTTTTTTTTCCTAAACTACGTTACATATTTGAGGTCTCTGCTATGTACTCTGGAAAGTTAACATATTTTTACTCTCTGAATTGTTTGTTGAAATTTCTGTTCATCTGCTGTTTGGAGATATCTTCCTTTAGAATCAGAATTTGGAAGCAAGCTTAGCCATAGTTTATGTTTAGTTTGCAGTTAATGAATTTTAAGTTATAACTGTATTTAATTGTATTTTTCATGGATTTTCTTGATAAATTTCAGAAAGGTGTTATTTAACATGATTCATGAAGATGCATTTGGAGCAAGATTAGAGAAAGTGGGTGACTTGCTTAGAAAGCCGATCCTTAACTGTATCTTGAAATGGGTTTATAGTACAGTAATTTTTATGCTAATTTTTAGAAAAAGAAAACTCTGGTTGGGGATGTAGCTCAATGGAAGAGTGCTTGCCTTGCATGCTATCATCTACAAGGCCTTGGGTTCAGTCCCCAGCTCTGGGGGAAAAAAGATCCTAGGTTTAGTTTTGAATATAGGAAGCAATTCCACATTGTTGGTATATAAAAGATCTAAATAGAAATGTTGTCAATAGGGGCGGGGGTTGTGGCTCAGTGGTAGTTGCTGGCCTAGCAGTGGTAGGCCCTGGGTTTGATCCTCAGCACCACATAAAAATGAATAAATAAATAAAATAAAGGTATTATGTCCATCTACAACTAAAAAAAAAATAAATATTACAAAAAAAGTTGTCAATATGTAAGATACATCATCAGCCTTCAGACATTTTGGTTAAAACATTAAAGGTGTTGTTTATTTAGAAATATGTAAAATAGGGACTGGGGTGGTAGCTCAGTGGTAGAGTGCTTACCTCCTGTATGTGAGGCACTGGGTTCGGTTCTCAGCACCACATATAAATATATAAATAAAATAAAGGTCCATCAACAACGACAAAATATTTAAAAAAGGAAATATGTAAAGTAATTCAAATATTTGTTACAAAAATCACAAGCTGTATTCTGTAGAAATGAAAGCAAGTAAAAGAGTTGATAAACCTATATATTAGAGTTTTCTGATTACAGGGGGAAACTTGACACAAGACGAAGTCTTATGTTTTGAAGGTGATACTTAAAGAGGTTGAAACCAAAAGCTTTAGGTCATCTACTATAAATAAATAAATAAATGTAAATATTCATTTTTGAAATATTAGAAATAGAGTACATTTAATTAAAGTATATTATTTTATTTAGTCATTCAAAAAGCTGATGTTTGGGGGGAAATATTTGAGACTTTATTTTTGGAGATTTAAAGTAAGTATCTGTCAGTTGTTAGCTCTTTAAGTGTGACCAAAGCTATTTTAATATGGATCTGATACATGGATTTATCTATACCACTAATATTAGAAAACAGTGGTAGCAATTTGAATTATCACTTGCTTACTTAAGTGAGCATAGTTTTCAGATGCCAAGGCGAACAGAAAAGTAAAGAAAATAGAGCATCCTCTCTGGTATTATTGTTTTAAAGCTTGTTCTTTCATTCTGTATCACTTTGTTACATTTTATTGCTGTCAGTTTCTGTCCCTGAACCATGCAGTAGCCGCTTCATTCACTGAAGTTCTGAAATAGTTTTGAGTACTTTCAACATTCTATTAGCTAAACCATTCTACTGTACTGTTGAGGTGCAATGGATCTTTTTTTGGCCCACTTCTGATTTATCCAGGCTTTAATGCTAATTGCTTAATGTTTATTTAGCTTAGATCAAAGAAGTTTGTCTCTCTATACATTTTAGGTATTTGTTACAGAGAAAGTGAAAGTGTCTTAAATGTAATATGTATCTTAGCTTAATTATTGAACATAGCAAATGCTATTCAGACCAGACCAGAAGTCAATTACTATTTTTAAGCCAAAATAAAAATTTAAAAATCTTTAAAAATACACTCACACAGAACTCAGTTCTTCAGGGCATAATTTTTCATGGTCAATTTGTTGGCTAGAATTTATACTTAACTAGATTTGCTTTAGTATACTTAACAGGTATCCTTGTTACAGTAGAATTAGCAAGCACTGTATTACCCTTTTATCTAAATCATGTTGCTACATTAGTAGATTAATGAAGGCTTGAGATATATTTGTCTTCTACTGGTAAAAGTCATTAAGAAAATGGAACTGTTATTTTGTTTTCCAAAGAATCTGGTACCTCTAACCTGGTTTGTCTTACCTAATTTATCTCCCCAACTTCCCAAACTAGTTCAAGCTTCAGTTGTTGTGGCCTAGACTTTTGCAATATCTCCTTAACTGGTCTCCCTCCTACTTTTGTCCATTCTCCGTGAAGCAGGCAGAATCACCTTCAAAAAATATCTCAGATCTTGTTACCCATTTTAAAAATTCTACTTTCACTTAAAGCCCAGACTTTTTAAATACAGGTCTCCGAGACTCTTAACAATCTTGCCTTTGCTTCACTCTCATGCTACTCTCCTTCATTGATTTCTCTACAAGTAGGCCCTGATTTGGGAAATATCCTCATTACCGAATGTATTTTTTTAAAGAGAGAGAGAGGATTTTTTTTAATATTTATTTTTTGGTGGACACAACATCTTTGTTTGTATGTGGTGCTGAGGATCGAACCCGGGCCGCACGCATGCCAGGCGAGCGCGCTACTGCTTGAGCCACATCCCCAGCCCCACCGAATGTATTTACTCATTTGCTTTCCTGTTTCTCGAAAGAAAGCTTCTTGAAGGCATGGGATTTGTCTTATTTGTTCCTCTCTCTCCAGCAGCTAGAACAGACTCGGCACAAGTAAAATTGCATTCAAGTGTCTGTTGAATGAATGAGTTCCTTTTTCCAAATGACTCCTCTCATTCATAAAAATGTGATCATTCCCCTTTTCTCTCTCTCTCTTTTTAAAAAAAATTTTATACTTTTATTAGTGCATTATAGTTGTACATAATTGTGGGGTTCTTTGTGACATATTCATACGTGCATGTACCATAATTTGCTCTATTTCATTCCCGCATACTTCCCCTTTCCCTCCTTCTCGTCTCCTTCCTCAATTCTACTGGTTTTCCTTCTATTTATTTATTAATTTATTTTAATTGGTGCATTATAATTATTCATAGAATGGGATTCATTGTGGTACATTTATACATGCACATAGAATAAATAATTTGGTTGATTTCATTTCACAGTCTCTCCCCTTTCCCACCCTTCCTCTACTGGTCTCCATTCTATTTTCATGAGATCCCCTTTTGAAAATTTCTAATTTCCCTTTAGCTTCTGCATCATTCTCCTTTCTTAAATCCAGGCTCATGTAGTCATTGTTATGATATGAAGGAGTAGCATTCTTCCAATTCTCTCCTTTTGTGTCCTTAGCTCATGTGTGTGTGTCCCCATCCCATGTGATGCTGGGGGTTGAACTCAGGGCTTTGAGCATGCTAGGCAAGTGCT